GGGGGGATGGCCATGCCGCAGTCCCTTCTCTTCCACTCTCCTCTCAGGATCTTGGGCATGCACGCACACGCGCCTGGCGTGAGTTTTAAGCCACCAGGTCCGGGACACGAACCACTGTCGACTATAAGGGAGTCCAGCGACATAGCCATTACGCCAACTGCTGGTCCCTCTTCTTTATTTTTAAGGGGTCTTTGTTATAGGGAATGTGTGCTTGTCAGAAAGAGAGACAGAAACAGTGAGAGGAAAACTAAGTCACCCACCAGCAGAGATGGCCATGCATCAATTCCTCCTCCTCCATTCTCCTTCTGGGATCTTGGGCATGCATGTGCACACACCCAGTGTGATTTTCAAGCCACTGGTCTAGGACTTGAATGGCAGTTGGCCAAGTGGGAGTCCAATGATGTAACCACTGCACCATCTCCTGGCCCCCAGAAATCTCTTCTAATAGTTATAGTATGTATTGCTTTATCCATTGTGCCATGATATATTTTTAATTAATAGATTTTTTAAGATAACTTTTATATTCAAAGAACAATGACGTGTAAGGTACATATATTTTGGATATACATTCTACTTCCTGACCCTCTACACACACATGCACACTCACAGCCTTCTTCATTATAAACATTACCAGCATAGTAGTATATTTGTTACAGTCAAATGAACCTACATTGACACATATGTATCACCCAAAGTCTATAGCTCATTATCAGTGTTGTATAGTCTGTGACGTTGGACAAACATGTAATGATATGGATCCTCCATTGTAGTAATATACACAACAATTTCACTGCCCTAAAATCCCCTGTGCTCTATCTACCCAGTCCTCTTCCTCTCCTCACCCTTGGAAATGACTAATTTTCTTACTGTCTCCATGGTTTTGGCCTTTCCAGAATGAGAATGTCATATAACCGGCACACATTAAGAAATATTTTCACATTGTCTTCTTTTGCTTGGTAATATGCATTTAAGTTCCACTATGTCTTTTCATTGTTGATTATTGTTTGTTTTCATCCCTGGATAATAGTCTACTATTATTGGAATCTGGAGTATTATTCACTTATTTACTCTTGTAAAGAGTAAGTGGATGTCTTGGTTGCTTTTAGCTATTGGAAATTATCAGTGAAACTGCTAAAAACATCCGTGTGCAGCTCTGTTGTTCTTTGTTTGTTAGTATATTTGTTAGTTTTCCTTTGCATGTTATTTACCTTTTGCAGTTTTTTTTTTCATTTTAGCAAGAGAATTCTTAGATACTAGGTCTAATGACTAACAGTTTATTTATCAATGGCAGATAATGAAGGACAATATTTACATTTTTAATTATATTTTTATTTTATAAATGTATTTATAAAAGGTATATCATTTTTATTAGATTATTATTTTAATATAATATTCATATTATAGTTTATTATTGTACATATCTATGGCTAACAATATTTTTTTAACATATGAATGTAACACATGACTCACAAGTCAAGGATACTTTATTCTTAGGTTTTTTCATCATACATTTCTATGGCTCACAAAATGATTTTTCAACATATGCATGCAACACATGATACTCAATCAAAAGTATTGCCAAATACATCATTTTCAAAACTACAATGAGATACCATTTAACCCCAGTAAGAATGGCTAGGATCAGAAAGCTAAGAACAAATGCTAGTAAGGGTTTGGTGAAAAGTGAGCTATCCTACACTGTTGGTGGGAATGTAAATTAAATGTAAAATTAACTGTTGTGAAAAAGAAATGTAGAGTCCTAAAAAACTTGTAAGTAAAATTACCATTTGATCCAGTAATCCTACTTTTTAGTATTTATCCAAAATATAGCAAAATATTCTGTTGGAGACACACCTGCATGTCCATGTTTATTGCAGCATTATTCACCATTGCTACAACATGGAACCAATGCAAGTGCCTAAGAAATAAAGAGGGATTGAAAAAGCATGTCACATATATGGTACGGAATGCTAATCAACCATAAGGAACAATCATGCTCTATTATTTCATTCAAACTGGTTGAAAATGGAAGACTTAATGCTAAGTGAAGTAAGCCTGACTCTAGAAGACATGCACTATGTATCTCCACTCAGTATATTATCTGTACTCTACTGCAGAAATGGAAAGATCTGACAACATCATAGAAGAGAGGATAAGTGTAGATAATAGAGTCTAGAAGAAAGAGGAGTAGATGGTAAGGGATGAGTGGGAGGAGCAAAGGAAAGAACGCTTAACAGAAACATGTAAATCTCTCTGCTGAAAATTGTTTGCATTTTATAATTCAGTGAAAACATAGCCAGTGAGTAAATCTTAGTATTGCAAATTATTAATTCTCACTATGTCTTTACTATCTGTTAATATTTTTTTTTTTCATAGGAAGTCAGGAGAATTAATCCTTCCAGGAACAACCATAAAACAGATTCTGCTATACTGATTTCTTTGTTGGACAACCTGTTTCTAAAATCTGCTAAGGAATGTATATTTAAATTTTCTTTCATAAATTTAAAAACACTATTTCTAATGGAGATTTCAATTTCTCCACTATCATATACTGTATGACTGTGTGGTCTGACTCCCAACGTCAAAGTTAAAAAAAAAAAATCATTAAAATATTTTTGCTATTCATTATAACATTGCCTTATTTGTTTTGGCTTGGAGGTATTTTGTGCTTCTTTTTATTTGTTAATATAATATCCCTACCTACACTATCTTTTTTTTTAAAGATTTATTTATTTATTTACTCATTCATTCCTTCATTTTATTTTGAGAGAGAGACACACACACACAGAGAGAGAGAGAGAGAGAGAGGGGAAAGTGAAAAAGCAAGCCACCAGGTCCAGGACTTGAACCATGGTCGGACATGAGGGAGTGTCCAGTGCCTTAACCACCATGCCACCTGCTGGTCCCCCTACACTATCTTACTTAATACAACACAAAATTATCTAAGTTTTCAATTCACTTTTTTATACTAACTTAAGTGTTTGATTTTATTTATTACTTTAAAATTCTAAATCCTATTTTCCTCCTTTATTCCATTCAAGTTAGCAAAGTAGTACAAAATCTAGGAGATCATTTTTATCTTTTACGATTTACCTAGTTCTTTTCTTTATGAAATTGTTAAGTCGATAAGCTTCTGTAAATGAACTGTGTGCTTTCTTTGGAAACAATGTCTGACACCAAACTTTTCTCATAGTTCTTTTCATCTCTGTATTTCTCAAAGTGTAGATTAAGGGATTGAACATAGGAGCAATGATTGTGTAAAAAAGTGCAAATACCTTATCCTCAGGGAAAGTGATAGGAGGTCTAAGGTAGATAAATATGGAAGGTCCAAAAAATAAAATGACCACAGTGATATGAGACCCACAGGTAGAAAGGGCTTTGCGTCTTCCCTCAGCTGAGTGATTTCTTAATGTGAATAATATAATGACATAAGAAACAAATAGAACAACAAAGGTAACTAAGGCAACCATACCTGAATTGGCGACCACAAGGACACCAGTGATGTAAGTATCAGTGCAGGCAACTTTTAGCAAAGGGAAAATATCACAAAAATAGTGATCAATTTTGTTAGGGCCACAGAAGGGTAAACGGATTGTCATAGACCACTGAGGAAATGAATGCACAGCACCCCCAGCCCAAGCAGCTAAAACTAGGAGATTGCACCTTGTCCTGTTCATGATAATCATGTAGTGGAGAGGTTTGCAGATGGCAACATAGCGATCAAATGCCATGGCAGTTATAATAAAGATCTCAATACCTCCAAAGAAGTGCATGGTAAAAGCCTGCAACATGCAACTACTATAGGAAATGGTCTTTGTCCCTCTTAGCAAGTCACCAATTAATTTGGGGGTAACACTAGAGGTATAGAAGATGTCCATAGAAGATAAATGGGTGAGGAAATAATACATCGGTTGGTGAAAAAGGGGGCTACATAAAATAGAGACAAGAATCACAAGGTTTCCTACCAAGAGAGCAACATAACAAAATAAGAAGAGTGCAAAGCAAAATATTTGTATGTTCTGATTATAAGAAAGTCCTAAAAGGATGAATTCTGAGATGTTTCTCTGGCTTTCCATATATTCGAGTTGTTATGTTTCATGCACAAATAAGTAAATTACCTGAAAGAAAGAATACATGAAATTTGAATGAAAATTTAATGGTATAATCCCAATAATATATTTTTAAAATAGGATAAATATTTATGGAATATAATAGCAATTATTATATCCATATATCTCTATATTTTTATATATTATATTACACTTATAGAATTAAGCTATATATTTTTTATTCTAACTCATTACACCAATCTGTTTAAAATAATATTAGAATGGGAATAATTATGTTTTCCCATTCAACATTACCTGTAATTTTAGAAAATATTAAATGCTATTTGAAATTTAAAAATTATTTTGTTACTATTAAACATATGGTTTCACTAAGAATTAAGGCTTAATTAACTTTAGACCAAAAATTTAAAAATGCCCTTTCACATGTTTTATAAAAGTATGTCCCTTATCATAGGGTTGACTTTCATTTTAATATGATCTTGCTAAATTATCCAGATTATCTGGGAATAAATCTTCACAAAATATAAATATGTTTAAATACTGAAACTTGACTGTAAAACTCTAATTTGTGCAGCACATACATTTCTTTGCCATGTTACTAAACAGTGTCCTAAGATCATGCCAAGTCAATTCAACTATTGTTATATTAAGAAACAAAGAATGTAAACTACACAGCAAAGGACTGAATGCTATTTAACGACTAAAGTTTTAAAAAACAATCAGAACGGGACCAGCAGTTAGCGTAATGGCTATGTCGCTGGACTCCCACATAGTCGACCATGGTTTGAGTCCTGGACCCGATGGCTTAAACTCACGCCAGGTACGAGTGCGTGCGTGCACAAGATCCTGAGAGGAGAATGGAGGAGAAGGGATTGCAGCTTGGCCATCCCCTAGTACAAAATCTAGGAGATCATTTTTATCTTTTACGATTTACCTAGTTCTTTTCTTTATGAAATTGTTAAGTCGATAAGCTTCTGTAAATGAACTGTGTGCTTTCTTTGGAAACAATGTCTGACACCAAACTTTTCTCATAGTTCTTTTCATCTCTGTATTTCTCAAAGTGTAGATTAAGGGATTGAACATAGGAGCAATGATTGTGTAAAAAAGTGCAAATACCTTATCCTCAGGGAAAGTGATAGGAGGTCTAAGGTAGATAAATATGGAAGGTCCAAAAAATAAAATGACCACAGTGATATGAGACCCACAGGTAGAAAGGGCTTTGCGTCTTCCCTCAGCTGAGTGATTTCTTAATGTGAATAATATAATGACATAAGAAACAAATAGAACAACAAAGGTAACTAAGGCAACCATACCTGAATTGGCGACCACAAGGACACCAGTGATGTAAGTATTAGTGCAGGCAACTTTTAGCAAAGGGAAAATATCACAAAAATAGTGATCAATTTTGTTAGGGCCACAGAAGGGTAAACTAATTGTCATGGACAACTGAGGAAATGAATGCACAGCACCCCCAGCCCAAGCAGCTAAAACTAGGAGATTGCACCTTGTCCTGTTCATGATAATCATGTAGTGGAGAGGTTTGCAGATGGCAACATAGCGATCAAATGCCATGGCAGTTATAATAAAGATCTCAATACCTCCAAAGAAGTGCATGGTAAAAGCCTGCAACATGCAACTACTATAGGAAATGGTCTTTGTCCCTCTTAGCAAGTCACCAATTAATTTGGGGGTAACACTAGAGGTATAGAAGATGTCCATAGAAGATAAATGGGTGAGGAAATAATACATCGGTTGGTGAAAAAGGGGGCTACATAAAATAGAGACAAGAATCACAAGGTTTCCTACCAAGAGAGCAACATAACAAAATAAGAAGAGTGCAAAGCAAAATATTTGTATGTTCTGATTATAAGAAAGTCCTAAAAGGATGAATTCTGAGATGTTTCTCTGGCTTTCCATATATTCTAGTTGCTGTGTTTTATATACAAATAAGTAAATTACCTGAAAGAAAGAAAACATAAAATTTGGATGAAAATGTAATGTTATAATCCCATAATATAAAATTAATACAAATAGAAGAAATATGTATGGAATATTAATAGCAATTATTATGTATTTATAGAATTAAGCTATATATTTTTATTCTAACTCATTACAGTAATCTGCTTAAAATAATATTAGAATGGGAATAATTGTGTTTTCTATTCAGCATCACCTGTAATATTAGAAAATATTTCAATACATTAGACAATTTTAAATAATTTTGTTACTATTAACCATATATTTAACTAAGAATTAAGGCCTAATTAAATTTATACCGAAGGGTAAAAAATGCCCTTTTGCATGTATTATAAAAGTATATGCCTTATCATAGGGTTGACTTTCATTCTAATGTGATATTGCCAAATTCCCCAATTATCTGGGAGTAAATCTTCATAAAATATAAGTATGTTTAAACACGAAAACTTGATTGTAGAACTCTAATTTGTGTAGTGTATACACTTCTTTGCATGTTAGCAAACAGTGCCCTAAGGTCAAATCAAGTCATTGAAATGTTGTTATATTAAAGAACAAAGAATGTAAACTACACAGCAAAGGGCTGAATGCTATTTAATGCCTAAAGTTTTGAAAACAACCAGAAAGTTTATTCATTTATCCTATTTGCATCTTAGGTGTTAATGGCAGTTTTGAAAAACTATACTGTCATTCAAATTCGAGCTAGCAATCAGTAAAGGAAAGATATAAAAATTCCCAAATATACTTAAATTGTACATATATCATGGATTTTACTAGACATGCCATGTATTTTATGTATAATCAAGGGGAACACATGTGAGTAAAAGGAGATATGTAGAAGGAAATTTTAAGGTTGTGGAGTGCAGCAGATAGCATGGTAGTTGGGGTTCCGGACTCCCATATGACCAATTATGTTTCAAGTCCTGGACCTGTAGGTTTGCTTTCTTACTTTCTCTTTCTCTCTCTCTCTGTCTCTCTTGCTCCAGTGAGTACATGTACCCTATAGCAAATTAAAACAGTAATAATAGTAATAGTAAATTATTTTTTAAAAAGACAAACTTTGTGGTCAATTAACACTCAGTGGTATTTTTTATAAATGAATAAATAAAAAATTTATAAATGTACATCTTTTGTAACTTTTGTTCAATCTTGAGAGATTATTTAGCTAGTTGAAAGAGTAGGTAGGATAGAGAGAATACACCCAAGTGGGATGGTAAACTCTCTAGCATACATTCTACCTTAGTCTGAATTTGATGTGATAGTCATATCTGGGCCCCTGGGTTCCTATTGAAAAAGTAGAAAATGCTTTTTTAACAGGTTATTTAGAAAACATCAAATATGGCAAATCACAAGATCAGTACCCAAAACATTTATTTTTTAGTTCATTTTAGATAGCAAATAAGTAACAGACACGGCATTTAAAAACATTTCTACTCTGACACCAATCTATCTTAAAGTATATACAAATATCTAGCATTATCAAAGGTAATTTTAAGTTTGTCCTTGTGTTGTCATCACTACCACTATAAGCCTTCCTATTCTATTTTTGTAGCAAAACAAAAGTTATTATTAGATATAAGTGTTTAGACATTACCAATTACTGAAGAATATTAATATATTTGGTTGCGAGGAAGTTCATTTACATCTCTTCTGCTTATTGCACCTGATACTGATTCTTTGTTTCTGAGGTGGAAAAATGTCAGCGTTTCAAATACATCCATTTACCTGAAAGAGTTTGGTTTAAAGAGATTTATTACAAAGGAAGACTGAATAATTTAAAAGTGGCAATTATTTGATTCATCTGAACCTCTAGTCTTTAAGTAAAAAATATTCAGATCAGGAGATCCTAGTAATTTTTCAGGTCTAAACTAATATGCAGTGACTTGGAGGGAGACAGGAATGTTGATTCTCAGTCAGGCTGGTACTACACTCCACACTTAAGCACAGAGCACAGAGGGTGGGCAGGGTCTCATGAAGGATTGCAACAGAAAAATTATTCAATATCTCATTTCTGTAGCCAAGAATATATACGGAGACAGGTTACCAGAACACCCCACCTATCTTCCTAGTTTTTACATGAAAATATATTGCATATTTCATGAAAATATGTGATCTAGAACTGTCTGGTTCTAAATTGTATTTGAAATTATTTTTTCTATTTTTACCAAAATGTAAATTCCTTAATTCAGGATTCTTGCTTGTTTTCTAGATCATTATTGGAATTTAAACTACTATACCTCTGTATAATCCATCCTGGATTTAAGAACAAGATCACTGCTGATAAACAGAGGTAAAACCTTCCATAATCAATCATCAGTGGGTGAAAAGTCAGGTGAGAATAACTGTAATGATTCAATGTTATCTTGACCATAGAGACAGTAAGAAAATCCCTTTGAAAACACTGATCACATAAATGGTTAAATAAATAACATGAGACAACACCGAACATGTGGTTAGAACAGTGGCAACACAAAGGGATAAAGACATGGAAGTACGTGAATAAACAAACTGAATTAAACCCTTGGGCTAACTGCTTAAACTCCTTAATACTCATTTTTCTCTATACATTATGATATTATAATTCAAAAATACAGAGAGTAATAAGTGAGGCATTATGAAATAACTGAGTGCTATATGTAGTTCTGAAGATGAAGGATCTTCAAACTTTCACGGACAATGTGTAATACATAAAAACTTAGCAGGGATTTTGAAATGGCTCTGCACAAAAATAAATTTGTACTTTAATCTCATTATCAAGGAACTTCATGAAGCTCCTGCACACAGGTGTTTTTCTCTTCTTTTCTTCTTTGAGTAGTTGAACAAATAATGAAATTGTCATGCACACATACATAACCAAGTCAATGCAAAAATGAAAAGATATTGCAAAATGAATTTAATGTGTGATCAAGTAAATTTCACTTTAGATAATCTGTTAGTGAGCAAATTTAAATTAGTGTGACAAATTAGCTCTCTGAAGGCATGTCTTTAACAGTAATTACTTGTCTAGTCTTTTCTACATTCTAAAAAATACAGTAAATTAATACTTTTTTTCTTTGGTAGTACTAAATGAAACTTTTGCATGCTCTTTGGAGCGTTATACAAAAATAACATGTGTTCTACTAAAAGTATTAAAATACAATTATGAAATATTTAAATTTTTTCTTAATGTATTAGAATGTATCATGCTATAAGTTACTTTGCTTGAACCAGATGACACTATTAATACTACATTTTAGGAGACTGGTTGTTTTAAAAGATAGGAAATTTTTCCCCATGGTCAATATCCAGTCATTAAATGGGCTATTCCCTAATAGGAGCAAAGAATATATATATATGTATATATGTATGTATGTATATATGTATTATGTCCCACACAAGAATGGGACATAATAAAATTCACTATCAACTTGACAGTATCTATGTCTTTTTTTCTTAAAGAATTATTCTTACAAAAAACACATGATTAAAGCTACTGTGGGCTAAGGTATTTTTTAAATGATTAAATGCTGAAAGAGAAGTCACAGCCTTTAGAATTATATAGAATAAACTGAATAGCATGTAACCAGCTCAGTATGTAGGCGGTGGGATTCTCCACAGTCTTAAGGCAGCAGACGGTTTCACTGACCATCAGGTCAAAGTGGCTGTCAGGATGTAGATCAGGAGGAATCCTACCTGCAGACACTTACCTTGCCATTTCATCTGTAATATCAAATTCAAAATAAAATGTAAAGAATTACAAACCAGGGTTTCAAACCAAGATTTCAAATCAATTCTCTGATAATATTTGGAACAACTCCACATGTTAGAAAATTTTTGCAGTTTACAAGGGAAATGGGCTTAAAATATTCACTAAGTCCATCAGCAATGCAGTGAAAAGTGGATCTTTATCCCTCCGAAAGGCAGGCTGGGGATGTTAAATAGTGAATGCTGATTTAACACCTTCACATTAACTCAGAGTAAAATATAAATAAATAAATAAAGAAGCGTTTTGGAATTCTTACAAAAGCTATTTTCCATTTTAAATCACGAGTCATCATTTCATGCTTGCACCTGAAGAAAATGAGTTTTAGCAGAACAGAATGCAAATTTAAGTTATGATGCAAGAATCTGTAGGTTTTTTAAACTCCAAAAAATTATATCCCCAAAGACATTTCTAAAATCATCCTGGCCAAATGTTCTGAGCTGCTCTTCACAGTAACATCTCAGGTGCCTCTGTGTGTTTACTATCCACTTTTGGGTTAACCTGGCACAGACACTGCTCCTCTGGAGATCTCACACTGAAGTTCAGGAAGCTGCCTGCTCTGTGCTCTTCCAACTCTCTGAAGAATGTAAGGGAATACTATAGTCTGTAGTGTGATTAGGTTAGATCTTAGGAAAATCTGAAATGAAGAAATACAAAGAGAACCAAAGACAGGCATCTTCAGTCTAAATATGGATGATTACTAAGAATGGATAGTTCAGAACCAGCAGATAGTGTAGCGATTATGTTGATGGACTCCCACATGGCCAATCATGTTTTGAGTCCCAGATCTGGTGGCTTCAAACTCACACCTGTTGTGTGTGCATGCATGCCCAAGACCCCAGGAGGAGAATGAAGGAGAAGGGATTGCCATATAGAGTGAAATCACACCCCCGGTGGGTGATTTCTCACTTTCTCTCTCACTGTCTGTTTCTCTCTCTCTTCAGCAACCAGCATGCTCTAAGGCAGAAACCAATAAAAATTAAAAAAAAAAAATGAAATGAAAGAAAAGGAAAAGAAGAGTGGCTAGATCAATAAAAACAATGAACTGCAGGATCATAATGGGATACCAGGTTATTTTTGCCAGAGACTAACCTTCCTGCAATAGATGGTTGGGGAATGGAAGACAGAAAGGAAGATTCAAGAGAAACTGTTTACCCATAGACCGCTATTAAAAATGATTTGATCATATATTAGCATGTTT